TGTCAACAGAGAGGGAAGTCTGGGCATCTCTGCTTAGACTGCTGCCCCCGCGACCCAGTTCCGGATAAGCAGAGGAAAATGGATGGATGAATAAATAAAAAATAATTCCTTTCCTTTCATGAACCAAAATTAATTGTAGTTGTAGGAGTTAACTACAGAAAATTGGCAAAAAATGTAATTTAAGTACTTCAGTCACTACACATCTAGGAATGTAGTTGAACTACCAACAAGTTACTGCAAAATGTAAACTACTAGTTTAATTACATGCAGTTCAATACTCCTCAACACTGTCAAACACAACACAGCCAACAATGTGTTTTGCTTCATTTTGATAGCCACAATAATATTTTCTAATCATTTTAGCTGGGTACCAAACAGTAGAGGCATTTAGAGCTATTGTATACAGCTGCTTTGTGATGAGTTTTGTGGCTTTAAAACTAAACTGCTGCCATAGGCCTAAGTACAACATGAAAAGGTTTTTTTCCACTACCTGTTTGAGTCTATCAGTGTCACTCATCAACAGCTACATGCAATATTAAATGTTTATTAAGAGTGTGAATAAAGTGACAATATCTGAAAGGTCAAGTTAGGAACTTGAATAAGTCAGCAGGATTGTGTCGGGCTTTGTACTTTGTTTTAGAATATAACTGTGAAACCATGGCAGTATGGTGCATGAGGAACTGAAAGAAGAGAAATATTAAAAAAAACTTTCTCCACATGCTAGTTTTGATTCCTATAATTGTATCCTATGGTTACAGTGCTCACATTGCAAAGTTTGACTAACAACCAGTCACTTACACTGCCTAAAATAATTATTGTACCAACTCAACTCACAGTTCAGTGTTGCATTATCGTCATCTAATGGTGGCATTAAAATGCACAGATCAAGGTGACATACAATGAAAAAGAAGATTTAATTTTTTTTTATGATGTTAATAAATATCAAAGCACCTTGAGAAGAGCTTCCTTTCGTTGGTGTGTGAACACCATGAGCGATGGTTTTTCAGGACCCTCAGTTTGAACATTTCCTTCCTGTGCAGCTTCAGGTTTTGATGAAAGTGGTTTTTATGCTGTAGGTTAGTGTGCCACTATCAGAATATACTGGAAGGCTTTTGCAAACATGATAGGTTTCAGGTTTTGTGGCTGAACACCCCACCACCACTTTATTTTCAATTACATTGCATGTGTGGTCTCCCATTCTTTGCTCAACCTTGAGTTCAGCTGTGCCAGTTGCCTATACTGTAATATTTTAAAATTATACAATTTTTACTGATACATTTTTTACTTTTATAAACCAAGTCCTTGATCTGCAACATTTCCCATAATGGCTTAATACGCTAAAAGATATTGATGGTATAAATACATGAGGTATAAGCAGCACTTTAAAACCTCTGAAGATTGTCTAAACCCTCAAGAAAGGCTATAACTCCCTCACACACAAAAAGGTGTGATGGTTGGTGTAAAAACAGAAAGCTGATGTGCTTTTTGTGGCTGTTATAAACCACATTTACACGGGGGCAGCAGTCTAAGCAAAGATGCCCAGACCTCCTTCTCTCCAGACACTTCCTCCAGCTCCTCCGGGGGAATGCCGAGGCCAGCTGAGAGACATAGTCCCTCCAGCGTGTCCTGGGTCTTCCCCGGGGCCTCCTCCCGGTGGGACATGCCCGGAACACCTCCCTAGGAAGGCGCCCAGGGGGCATCCGAAACAGATGCCCGAGCCACCTCAGCTGTCTCCTCTCGATGTGGAGGAGCAACGGTTCTACTCTGAGCTCCTCCCGGGTGACCGAGCTCCTCACCCTATCTCTAAGGGTGAGCCCGCCCGCCCTGCGGAGAAAGCTCATTTCGGCCGCCTGTATCCGGGATCTTGCCCTTTCGGTCATGACCCAAAGTGCATGACCATAGAAAGAAACATAATCTGTGACTAAAATTTTGATTTTTTTTTTCATATATTTTGTGTTGACAATGTGCAGAACTGAATTTGTTGTTGCTGTTAATGTGGTGCTGTTGTGGTGCTGACCATGCTAGTTTCAAAGCAGTGCCACAGTATGGCACTGTGGCTCCATCTATAGGATGTACTTGCATTGTAAACTCCCAGAGGACCTTTGAATAAAGGATCTCTGCATCAGTTTATTCAGTCAGCAGTATGTGAACTGGGAATTCCCAGTGGATGAGATAACTGGGAAGTGTTTAAAGACAATACAAAGCTACAGAAATTAAATTTGAAAAAGGAAATGTTTTTTTAAAGATCCTGGCACTGTAGCAAGACACTGTAGCTTCCATATCTGTGTGCCAAATATTACAGTAAATTTGAACAAAAGCTGATCAGTACTTTGACTCAGGACAAAGTCTGAAACACCAACGTTCCACTCAGCTTTTCTATAACTGGGTCAAACTCCACTCTGTCACATAATATCTAAACACAAATTTTTAAAAAAGCTATAAAGGCAGTGCTGTCAGCCCTGTGACCTGTCCAGGGTGTACCCCACCTCTGGGATTGGCTCCTAGCTGGATGGTTTATTTGTTAATTCCTACTCAAACTAAGCAGCATATTGCTCCTCCAGGTGCAGGGTATAGCCTGAAAACTAATAAAATATTAGAAAAAAATGTCCATACAAAGCAAAATTAAAAATGAGTTTGTTCAAATAAAGTGCACATTAAATTGAAAGAATCCGGTGTCAAATCAATGTACAAGATAAAATCTAATCAAATCAAATCAAATTTTATTTGCATAGCGCCAAATCACAACAAAAGTCATCTCAGGACACTTTACAGCGCTCTGATCAGTAGATGTATGTGCCATTGTGTTTGTTGGGTGGCAGGCTATATGAGAAACTGGATGTTGATAGAGAAGAATAAGAGTATGTTTTTATGTGAAAGAGCCCTCATCAACAATCAAGCCCGTGTCTAGGCCTATATTAAGTCTGTATACACAGTAACCAGTGTAAGAGAGTGTGCGCCCCCTTCCATTTCTCAGAGAGCCTCCGGATCCACTAGAGGGCGCTGTTATAAACAGCCCGATCAGGTTTTCTGACACGGAAACGGATTGTGTATCAGGAGCGTAGTACGATCAGTGATAGTGCAGTTTAGGAGTTTATATTCTTGCCTAGAAACTTGTTCTAGAAACTTTTTTATTCATTTTAGACCGTCAACAAGCTGGCGAACACTTGACAGATCACACAGAGGTGTAGCCTATTTGCCAGTTTATCCGCCGGTTTGTTTTTTTCTCAAAAACGAAGGTGAATTGAGGAAGGCCCGTCAAACCATGGCTGAAAATATGGACGAGGATATCTCGGAGGAGCCTTTGCCTCTGCAGCAGGACCTGACTTGCCCCGTGTGTCAGGGCATCTTCCAGGACCCCGTGCTGCTGACTTGTACGCACAGCTTCTGTCGGGAGTGTCTGCAGAGAAGTTCAGAGTTTAACAAGTCGTGTCCCGTGTGCAGGAGGAGCTTCGAGGAAGGCCAGGCCATCTCTAACCGTGCGCTCAGCGGCGCCTGCGAGACCTTCCTTAAACATTCAAACTGGCGGCCGAGCCAGAAACGTCCATGTGAGGACACCTGTAACATGCACCTGAAGCCGCTGGAGCTGTACTGTGAGAAGGACGAGGAGCCCCTGTGTGTGGAGTGTGTCCCCCTCCACAACGTACACAGGCTGTTATCGCTGAGAGAGGGAACGCAGTTGTGTAAGGTAAAGTGCATTCACCGGCTGTCCGCTGGGTCCTTAAAGTTGTTTTCCAAGAAAGAAAAGAACAACTTGATTAATTCGGTGTACCTAATAAACTGACAACTAAGTGTAGGTAGACTGTAGGTTCATGTTTTCCCCATAAAATAAGCTACAGCTGAAAGTGGATGTACTTAAGCGTTTCAGTGCAGAACTTACTTTGTTTTTCTCTAGAGTGAAATAAATACTTCCCACAATCCCGACTACCTCTCTACTTATTAGGCTTTGTAATCCTTTCTGTAAAAATACTACCAGTGTATATGTTCTGTTTTACAATTCGTAATAACTGCTGAAGGCCAGAGCTCATGTCCTGTACAGTGTATTCCTGATTTCCTGGTGTTGCCTCGCCTCTGGTTTCCCATTCTTTCTGCTTTAGTCTTTATTTCCTCATCACACTTATGTGCTTCTGCTTCACTGCTACAGTGAAATATGCCCATCCTAGAATATACTCAGACTAACAGCCTGAGCAGGGATGTACCAGGATCATTCTGGGTCAGTGCAGCTCCTGACCTAGGACATCAAATGATACCATGCGTTTGATCGTAATAACTCTAGATTTACTACACAGTTACTGTATAGATTTATTATGTTTAATAACATTAATGGCAGACTATGACTCAAATCGATGTACCGGTATGTGTTCTGGTAAGCAATGTAAATGAGTCAAAATGCTCAATACCAGGTGCATTAATTAATGTTAATGTTATTTAAAGATGAACACAGTCTGGTATAATTGCGTAGTTTAGCAGCAACATATCTGTATGTACATTCAAAAATTAGGATCTTCTATGAATAGACATGACCACGGAAGGGCCATGAATATTCAAAAATTAGGATCTTCTATGAATAGTCCTGACCAGGGAAGGGCCATGAATTAGCCTATGTCAGCAATTTGGTGTGAATACAGGTTGATCACATGTCTGTTATCTGTCATCCAACACAAAGACTGAGTGTGGAATGAATATTGCACTTCTTTTTCTATACTCTTATGTTTTTATTTCCTTTGTGTTACTTCATGTCCTGTCCTTTCGCCCTGCAGAAGGAGCTCGGCTTTAAAGTTCAAATTTTTGAAAAGAAAGTTGACGCATACAAGAAAATGACCCTTAAACTCAACAACACAATGGAATACATCAAGGTAAAGTTACTGGCACGTCTCATGGTATTAGAATACATTTATCTACTGTCCACTACAGTCCTTGAAGCAGACAGGTTCACAGCTGCTTTGCTAAAGTGACTTCTACTGAAAAGCTTTATATAATAATGCACTTTATTCAGCACCACTATAGCTGCTCTGTACATGGTCCTGACCCTGTGATGTAGAGTCCCTCACAGGGTGCAGTAAAACAACTGACAAGATTACATTACAAATCAGAAGAGACTAGAGAACCTGCACACTCCTATGAATTAGTTATTTGTGGATATGATTTGACATAGGGGTGTGTGATATTATATTAGATCGTGAATGTTTAAAACATCTCCACAATATGCCTTTACAGAGAGGTCGCTTGTATTGTGCTACAGCGTGTATCCTATGAGTTGCAGTTCTATGGCCAACACTCAACACCATGTGACATAGATTAACATGACCCTATTTGGCAATGTAGCAGCATGAATGTCAACATGGAGGAGTTGGTTGTCTAGTAAAAATTCAACATCTGTAATATGGAACTGGTTTGGATTTTCCAAAACTGACACGGCTCAAACAACAGGTATTTGTAGATGTTACAAAGATAGCATTCGCATGTCTGTTGGCAATACAACAAAGCATTTTAGCCTCAAAAGAAAACACCTGAACAATTATGCTGGTGGTCAAACAGTGAGATGACCCTATTTGCTTGCATCAGCTACAACTACACAGCCAACAGTTACAAGGCCAAAACAACCAACTAATGACAACATTTGAGAAAGGCGCTCTGTATGACAGGACATGTAAGCACTGGAAAGAGGTAACCGATGCAGTGACATTATACCTGGACAAGGATATATATATATATATAACTGTGGAAAAATGAGTTTCACAATGCTGCTCAAAGTAGTTGATCCACGTTATGAGATACCCAGCCACAAATATTTTTCCATTCAACTGCTGTAGTAGTCCATTACAACTGCTATTCTGTTTTTTTTTTTCTATTAGGTTGTGCTACCTTGTAGGGTTTAGTTTTTTAAATAGGGAAATCAATTTGGTTGTACTGTTGAGTAACTTGCAAAATAGTCTTAAAAACCAACATGAAAAAGAATTATGATAAGATCATGGATTGTGATCCTGCCTGGAAAAAAAATCATGAAATAATAGGTTTGCAATATCGCCCACCCCTAACTTCACATCAAGTCACCTGCATGTCAGCACAATTTATCAACTCTTTAAATTTCACTTGAATCAGAGTCATTGTAGTTCACTGCATTTGTTACCATGCTGAAGAGGGAGAAGTAATTGAGATGCATTTTCAAGGTACATGCGTGGTGCTTAAGCAACAGGACCTTCCAGTGCTAAGAGATGGTGCCAGACAAAAGTACAACATTTGTCATATTTTGTGTGTGTTTCTTCTCTGGTTTAACACAGCATCAAGCTGGGCAGGCAGAGAAACAGATCAAGGCAGAGTTTGAGAGGCTCCACAATGCGCTAATCACAGAAGAAGCTCTGCGTCTAAAAGCCCTGGCTACTGAGGAGGAGCAGAAGATCACTGCCATACAGGAGCTGATTGACAACACAAAAAGGGACATTGTCATTCTGAAGGAGTTCATCGATAATCTGAAGAAAGAGATGGGCAACGAGGACCTACCCCTCCTGCGAGTAAGAGAAGCCATCTGGTCTCCAAGGTCATAAACCTACAAGTTTTTAAAATGCATTAAACTAACCTCCATGACTCTCTCTTTGTTTTAGAATTTCCAGAGTTTAAAACAAAAGTAAGTAACTGCAAAACACACTGTAGCAGTCTCATGCAACTCAGTTTATCCAGATTTGTGCTGTATTTTGTAAATTTACAAATATCTCTTGTTAACTTTACATATTGCCATCTTTGCTCTAGATCCCAGTGGACTAATGAAGATCCTCGCATCCCTGATGACTCTCTTTTGAACATGGGCAAACATGTTGGTGCTTTGAGCTTCAACATCTGGAAGAACATGCAAGCCCATGTCAAATATTGTGAGTAAAATGCACAGTGGGAGTTGGGAATGGCCTGGTTGTCTTTTCTAGAGCTGGACTAATTTGTGTTTGCTGGTTTACATTTAAAATTGGTTGTAAACAAGTGTTTCTGATTGCCATATTGGCATCCATTAAAAATTATATAGGCATACTTGAAACATCATTCTAAAACAACAGCACCAGAACAACAGAATTGAAAATTGGTACAAAATACCAACAATGTGCAGTATTACTGGGAATTCACACTTTTAGAAAAGCAGTGGTAAAATAAAAATGATTCCTTTCCTTTCATGGCCCAAAATTATTTGTAGTTAGAGTAGTTAACTGCACAAAAAAAGGAAAAAAATATAATTTAACTGCAGAAATATGAATGTAGTTGAGCTACCAGCAAGTAACTGCAAAATGTAGTTAAACCGTTAGTTTAATTACATGTAGTTCACTACTCCCTGACATTGCAGAAATGTACTGGACAACATTAATTTCCATGTAGGCTCATCAGGAAGAAATCAGCAAGGTTTCTGAGTATGGATTTACTAATCTTATTGATTGTCCCCAGCTCAATACTGAGGGTGGGAAATAAAACCAGAAACAAAAAGTAATTAAGGATTTGTGTGATTTAAACAGGTTTCTGTGGAGTTAATGCTTCACTAAATGCACCAGAGAACCAAAAAAAGAGAAAATAGGCCTTAAATGTAAAGAACAAACAAACAAAAAAAACTAATAAACAAAAAAACTGCAGGGGTTAAAAAAAAAAGCGTTAATTGGCCTTTAGTCTGAAAACACTGTATGTGCCTTTAAAGGCTTTTCAGAAAAGCCAGCAAATGTGTTAAGAAGCAGTATGACCTTGTTGCGTCTCTTGTTGTGTGTGCAGATCCAGTGGTGCTAAACCCAAACACAGCATCTCCGTGGCTGTCCTTGAATAATGACCTGACCGGCGTGAGTGAAAGCTCAGAGCGGCTGACTGCCCCTGACAACCCCGAGCGCTTTGATCCCTGTGTCTTCGTCCTGGGTGCTGAAGGTTACACCTCTGGGAAACACAAATGGGATGTCATGGTGGGTGACAACCCCAAGTGGATTGTGGGAATATGCAATGAGTCAGTGGCCCGTAAAAGGAAATTTACGGTATCTACAAACCGTGGTGTGTGGTCCATAGGACTCAGCAAAGGCGTGTACACTGTCCTGACACCTCAGCGTACAACACTGCAGGTGCAGCAGCGTCCTGAAAGAATTCGTGTCAAGCTAAATATAGACAAGGGAGAGGTGTCATTTTGGGATGGGGGAACAGCACAGCACCTGGTTACTCTTACACACAAGTTTGAGGAGAAGATGTTTCCTATTTTTGGCCCCGGGCTTCATATTACACCTATGGTTCTGGTTGCAGGAAAAATGGCAGTACACACATCATGATGTGCCAGGATAATGCAAAAGGATGGTTGTTGCCCTAAAGATGTAGGATTGTAGATGAGAATATTTTTAAAATAAAAGCTTTATAAAGGTAATACAAAATCAACACTTCAACAATCAAACAGTGATGTTACAAATGTGTGTAGAACATCAAGTTAAAGTTTAAAATCAGCCAGTGAGATTAAATGTAATTAGAATATAAACATATGAAATAGGATGTAAAAAATACACATTAGGTACATAACCTAAAAGTTTTACAAAAAATAATTTTAAGAGAAGGTTGAAATGATGAGACTGACAAAGATAATGTCATAAATGTAACTTGGATCATAAAGCATGCAGGTAGCCAGTGAAGAAAGGGCTAGGACAAGGTTAATGTGGTCTCTGAGAAAACATGACTGACTTTCTCAGGGGCCAAGACCAAATTTTTGTAGATGTGCCTTAGCTAAAGAGAAACTGGTTTGACCAGTCACTTGACTGTGAAGAGACAGGCTAGAATATAGGGTCATGGTTATCTTTGTTATCTCCCTTGGGAGAAATTAATTTGTTTTAAGAATCACACCCTCACTGCCACAGCAACAACACAATTTAAACACATCACAACACAATAAAAATAAGACACCTGTTTGTATAGTCCAGATCCAGCTATGTACCACCTGATCTGGAACTTAAGTGGAAAATATGACTAAAAATAATGCAGTGGAATTACAAGATGGCTTGGCAACCCAGCCTTATTCCAGTAAATCGGGAGATCATCTAAAATTTACAGTGTGACTTTTGAAGACGGTCATTCCTAAATTTAATAGACAGTGTGACAAATGAGTGCTTATAAAAAAATGACACAGAAATAAGAGGCAGCATGGCTGATGCTGGTGATCAGTACTAATGAAGAGATGGATTAAAGCATTTCTGTGGACTCATCACCTAGCTGGGGGAAACCAGTGACACCCAGCTCTTAATATCTGAGAGGTCAACATAAAAAAGGTTGAGTGTTAAGGTAATAATGCAAGTTGCCTGTTTCTGTAGCAGTGGTGCCTGCAGAAAATCTTAAAAGCTATACAGCATAGAGGAATTTCAGGTAATGCACATTAATAGAAAGGTAGCGATTTCTATATTATAATGTAAAATAAGTTCCATATGTTTAATTCCTTAGCTGATCTCAAGTGAATATCATTAGACTGATAATTTGCATGAGGTCATCCAAGGAGTTAATTATCAATTTCAGTTTGAATACATCATCAAAAAAACAAAGAAAAAAATCGATGTGTGGGTTGCTTAAGCTTCACTGTTAATTATTAGTTGATAACAAATGATTCACTGATGTCCAGCACATCACATTTTATATTATATACAAGTATCTTCCATTGTTTGAATCATAGTCTTGAACCAAAATTGTACTTCAGTTTTTGGAATTTTAAGAAGGTGGCATGGCCACCTCTTGGGGACACCATTGTTCTGTATCTACTCTTGTCTCTGGCAGTTATTTATCTTTGCATACAAGTGGCATGATATTTTTGATTTTAGATTTTGATGTGATTGTCAGAAATCTTAGAGTTCTTATGCTTGGCACTATGTGCTTTATATAGTTACTATTATATAATTGTGTTGCATTAATTAGGCGTTTTAATAAACTACTGATTCATTGGTTTTGTATGGGGTTGCTGTTCATTCACTTCTCAGTGGTGTCAGGTAGTACTCAAGTTCAGCATGACACAGCTTAGCTTTGAAGTAGTATACAGTGGGTACAGAAAGTATTCAGACCCCCTTAAATTTTTCACTCTTTGTTATATTGCAGCCATATGCTAAAATCATTTAAGTTCATTTTTTTCCCTCATTAATGTACACACAGCACCCCATATTGACAGAAAAACACAGAATT